ATAAAACAAATCTCTTTTTTTGAGAAAAGACAGTGCTACACAGTCCGTTTTACTGAATTAATAATGGACATGGTGCCAGCTAGACATTTTTCCCAAAGTACATTAGTTTCTGCTTTTTTTTTTTATCTTTTAAGAAAAGGTCTAAAGAGGAAGCCTAGTCTAGCCTCAAACTCTTGATGCTCCTGCTTCATGCTCCAAAATGCTGAGTTGACAGGTGTGTCTCACCACAGCTGGCATATGAGCCTTTTGTCCTACCAGGAGTAGTGAGAAAAAAACTGAGAAATTGATACCTGCAAGGTATGGAGGTTCATAACTGTAATCCTAGCACTTGGGGGACAGAGGCAGGAGGACTGCCACGAATCTGAGACCAGCCTGGGCTATACAGTGAGCCTCAGGCCAGGCTGGGCTATACAGCGGATTGGACGTACAAGCCAGGAGTAGAGCATTTCACATCTGTACTGAGGTTTACTGAGAGAAAAGGAGGGCATTTGCTGCTTGTCTCTTTCCCTGGGGCTGGGGCTGGGGCTGGGAAGGAGCACACCTTGCACATCATGCATTCTGCCTGTTGTTCTGAGCCCCAGACCTGGACATCACACACACGGGAGGTCAGTACCTGTGTGGCTTGTGCCAAAGAGTCCTGTGTGGCTTTGGACAGTTTCCGTAGATATCGCCCATAAATCACGGCGAGGATAGAGATCGGAGGTACCACGCTCAGAACAAAGGTGGCCAGACTGGGTGACACAAAAAACTGTCAAGAACAAAAGTCAAGAGCATGTGTTCCTGTGACAAGGTATCCTCAGACCTACAGTGCACAGGCAGGAAGACACTGTCTCCGGGCCATGCCTCCCGTTTGGGTTGGATTTTCCTGGCATCTTTAATCCTTATAAAACCCGACATCTAAGCTGAGTGTGATGACACGGGCCTTTAAATCCCAGCACTCAGGAGGAGGCAGAGGCGAGTGATCTCTATGAGTCAGAAATTAGCCTTGTCTACACAGTGAGTTCCAGGCCAACCAGGTCTATATAGTGAGACCCTGCCTCAACATCAAAACGACCACAAAAACTCCAGGTGGGCACTACCAAGGAGAACAGTTGCTGCAACTGCTGAAGATATAAACGACATATCCTCTGGCCAATTCTCATATGCTCTAATATGCCAGACACATCTTCAGCAGCAGAGAGAGGGACACGATGGAATGAGGGCTCAGCAGAGAGGCCTACTCTGCTCTGCACTGGTCAAATGTCATCATGAGTTCTAAACATGGCCATAATCACCCTAGTGCCCTGAGTGTCCAGAATTTTTCCCATCTAGATCAATAAGTCAGAGAATTCACCAAAACACTCCGCATCATACATAGGATCTGAATACAACCACCATAGGTTAGAGTGGGGGAACTATTTCCAGGGTTTAGCAACCTGCCAGTAGGCCAGGTTTGGTCAGTTTAACCACAACAGTGGCTCAAAGAACAAGAACATTTTGGTTTTGTTTTTCACTGTTGTTGTTTTCTTTGTTTTTTAGGCAGGGTTTTTTGTTTTTTGGGTTTTGTGTGTATGTGTGTGTGTAACCCTGGCTGTCCTGAAACTCACTCTATAGACCAAGTTAGCCTCAAACTCACAGAGATCCATCTGCCTCTGCTTCCAAGTGTTAGTATTAAAGGTGTGAGCCACCACTGCCCAGCTTAAATGCTTGGGTTTTTGTTTTGTTTTTCGGAGACAGGTTTTCTCTGTGTAACAGCCCTAGATGTCCTAGAACTTGCTTTGTAGACCAGGCTGGCCTTGAACTCATGGAGCTCCACCTGCTTCTACAAGAACCTTCCGAATTAGCAGATTAGACAGACTCCCTCAACTCTGCAATGTGGTGACTGTTTTAAATGGTGCTGGTGACTTTGCAATACATTATTAAAATGTGCCAAATCTCATTGCACAAAAGAATAATGGCACAGGGGCTCCTAAAGTTACAGTGTAACACTGAAGTACAGTGTAGAGGTAAAAGACAGATTGGCTAATTGCTCATCTGTGGGAGAATAGTCTGTATTCTGTCAATCTGTTTATTTTGAATAAACGCTGATTGGCCAGGCAGGAAGTATAGGTGGGTCAACCAGGAAGCAGAGGTGGGGAGATGAGAACAGGAGAATGCTGGAAAGGAGGAAGCCCATTCCTCCCATTCCAGCCCAGACCACCGAGAAGCAAGATGTAACCTGCGTTGCTAAAAGATACAGAGCCACATGGCTAACATAGATAAGAATAATGGGTTAATATAAGCTACAAGAGCTAATAAGTAGCCCGAGCTAATGGGCCAATCAGTTTTATAACTTATGGAGATCTCTGTGTGATTTTCTTTGGGGCTTGCCGGCTGTGGGGTACCGGGCGGGACAGAAACCCCAACAAGCCAGGCCCCGTTCATGTTACATTCATCTATTTCTTACTCTCAGATCACAGTTCTACTAAGTAATTGACAATACATTTTTTATATCCTGTCCCTTGCTTTGGCTTGGTTTTTGTTGTTTTTAACATACTCTCATATTATCAAGATTAACTTCAAACTAGTTTGTGTAGGCAAGAATGACCTTAAATTCCTGATTCTCCTGCCTTTTCTCCTGAGTTCTGGTATTACAGGAATATGCCACAACGCTAGCGTTATACAGTACTGGGGACTGAGCCCAGGGCTCAGTGCCTGCTGGGAAAGCCCTCTGTCAACTGAATTACAATCCTTGCCTTTTATTCTTGTCCCATGAACATTAAGGTCATACTCAGAAGCTACTCAGGCCAGCAGGGATGGCTGGAACACAAACACTACCTGGAGAGAGAGCTGAGATGGGTTGAGCCACCCGAGATGAGCAAGACAGCTGTAGAACACAGATTTCTTGCAGGGACACAGAAAATGAGGTCTACATCCCTTAAACCTGACACTTGGTTCCCAAAGGGGCTCTTTGGCCTGACATTCTTGGCTGTCTTCACACCCTGGTCTTACACATCTCAGGAAAAGCCAAACTTCAGATTAATACTTACTCAAGAGAGATACAGGCCGGGCCAGGAGAGATAATCCCCATGTCCCAGTCTGGGGCAATGTTCTTGGTTCTATATGCTTACAAAATGTCAAGAACACCCCAAGCCCCTCATGCTCAAAAGCCTGGCCTCGAGAGCCCTGACAGAAAGCACCAAGAGGAAATAGCTGACGTACCATCATGCCAACACCAACCGAGGCCTGGGCCCCAGCCCTCAGTCCGTCAGAGAGGTTTTCAGTCACTGAGCGCCCCAGGAGTGCAGTATCTGAGGAGAGGCGGTTAATCAATTCTCCTGTGCGGGTCTTATCAAAGAAAGCAACCTCTTGCTTTAGGACAGAGGAGAAGAGTGAGGTGCGCAGCCTGTTCACAATGCTCTGACCTGCAAGGCAAACACAGCAGCTAACAATGAATGCAGTCACCTGTCCCTCATGGGGCAGCCGCCAGCGAGCTGTTTAGACAGCCTGTGTTAAAGCCCATTTGTAGACTAAGCACATCAACTCCACGGATCCCGGCGTGGGAGGGACTCGTATAGGCCAGCACGCTGACTTCCTGTTACTAGCTATAGAGTGTGGGCACAAGGGGAGGAGATCATGATAAAGGCAAAGGGACTAGCAAGGCAATTCAGCAGATAAAGGCGCTTGCCATGGAAACTTGACGACCCGAGTCATCAGATGGAACCCTCAAACTGACAGAACTGACTCCAGAACGTTCTCCTCTGCCTGCACATGTATGTGAACATACCATAACAACAATAAAAATGCATTTTAATTTTTTGAAAAAAGGCTCCTTGACATGTGAGGAGCATCATATATCCACAATGCCAATCTGTTCATGATTGGCAGCCCTTATAAGAATTGCAGTTTGCAATGGCAGGAAGGGGTCTGTTACCTAGAGACCGTCTTACTAGCCATGTAAACATGGAATGCAGTCAGTCCTAGGCTGCCAGCACTGGGGCAGTTCCCTGCCTGCTAAATGGGCCCTTTTTCAAGAAATGCCACTCAAGTTCCCATCCCAGTAGCTACACAGCATGAATAGACAGGTCTTGCTTTTACTACCTGTTCAACCCTGACCACACAAAAGTAGAGAATGTACACCATCTTGGTGGGATGTGGGATCTGTCCCCAGCGAATGCAATGTCAGGAAGAGACTGGGGCCTGGAGCTGTGACACTCGAAGCCCTGATACTACCCCAGGCCCTCTGTCATCTCTGACGAACCCCCGCCTGATGGGACTGACCTGAAGACTGCATGAGGAAGACACGAACGGCATTCGCAGCAGCACCACAGAGGAACACACAAGTGAGTCCGGCACAGAGGCGAGTCAGGCTCTCAGCAAAGTCCCCGCTCGGGTCGGTGTAAATGACATCAATGATCTTCCCCAGGAAGAAGGGGGCGGACATGGTGACAACACTGGACACGGCAAGAAACCCAACGGCAGCTGGAAGAGAGGAGCAACACTCAGGACGCACAGCACAGCACAGGGCAGGGGTGGAGCACAAAGGGCCTCATCACCACACTAGCCTCAGGGGCTGGGCTTTCTCTTCTCTCATCTACCAGCCTGACTAAAGGAAGGGAAGGACCAGATGAGCAAGAAGCGTGGCCGTGAGGGAATGTGTGTGCCCAACCAGCAGGAGGATGTTATGGTTTGTGCATTCCTTCCTCGTAGGAGAGCCTGAAGCAAACCGCGGACATCTGTCTGGCCTCCCTCTTGTCTTCCGGTCTTAGTACTCATTTCAGATCCTGCTTCTCCTGCATTTCTGCTACATGCTGTTCTCCTTGGCATCTAACTACACCTCAGCTTCATCGCCAGACTATCCAGGGAATGTTTATCTGTTGTGTGTATGAGGGAGGGGAAGTTTTTTTGAGACAAGGTCTAACTCTATAGCCTAGGCTAACTTCAAACTCACAATGTAGTTCAGGTTAACCATGAACTTCCTGTGACATACCACAGCTTCTTGAATGATGAGATTATAGGTATACACCACTGCTCCTGGCTTAATGTTCTTGACTACGGTTAGTATTTCAAAGTCTCTACGTAAGCTTTAGAGAGCAGTTCCTGGGATCCACTTTGCATGTGCTATGTCCCTTCTTAGTATTATTGCTCTGTGGAATACAGCATGAAATGACAATAATCAGGAAAATAATTGTCCGTGTAACTAAACAGCAGATAAGGGGGCCAGAGGGTTACTGGAAAGGTGGAGCCAAGTGTGGTGATGAATGCCTGTAATCCCAGCATTTGGGAGGCAGAGGCAGCTCTCTGAGTTCAAGACCGGCTTGTTCTAACATAGTAAGTTTCAAGCCAGCCAGGACTACATAGTTGGCTAAAACAAACAGACAAAAAATTTTAAGAAAATCCAGTTAAAAAGAACATATATCACAGACAACCATATTCATACAAAAAGGAATATAAAATCCTAAGACTGGCAATTTTTTACTCATGAGATTGGCAAAGATTACATGCTTAGGATGTTGGTGAAGATGTAGGAAGGAGGCTCTCATCAGGGGAAACAGTGGTACTGATGGAGGAGCACGTTTACACCAGCAGCAAGTGAGATCCCAGGTGAAGAATCCCCTAGAACAGCAATGGACTTCTGAGAATTCTTACAAACTGCCACGTGAAGTATGGAAAATAAATCTAAGGACGTCAGATTATAGCACTATTATACCAGCAAAAGAATCAGTATCTTAAACACCCACCTAAAAGCTAAACCTACTATAAAGAATTTATAAATATTAAGCCACCAGTATAAGGAATGAGGTAACTCTTTGGGTATCTACATTCAGTAAGATGTACCATGGGAGCTGGACCTGGAGACACAGAGCTGATATCCAGGAGGATGAGGCTGGAGAATCACAAGTCTAACCTCAGCTACACAGTGAGTTCAAGACCAGTCTAGGCAATTTAATGAGACACTGTTTCAAAATAGAGAGCTTTGGCTGTAACTAAGTGCTAGAGCATGTTTGAAATCCTAGGTTCAATCCTCAGTACCGGCTAAAGCAGAGAAAGACAGACAGACACACAGAAAAAGATACATGATTTGTTTAAAAAAACAAGTCCTAGATAATAATATTAGCATCTGGCTGGGCAGTGATGCTGCACGCCTTTAATCCAGGCATTTGGGAGGCAGAGACAGGCGGATCTCAGTGAGTTCAAAGCTGGCCTGGTCTACAAAGCGAGTTCTAGGACAGCCAGTACTGTTACACAGATAAACCCTGTCTTGGAAAAAAAAATATTAGCATCTGTTGGGTGTTTTCCTCTTTTTTCTTTCTTCAGAGTTTTAATGAGTACAGAACTTTTTCTTTCTGTTTTTTTTTTTTTCCCAGTTTTTTGAGACAGGGTTTCTCTGTGTAGCCCTGGCTGTCCTGGAACTTGCTCTGTAGATCAGGTTGGCATCAAACTCAGTAATCCACCTGCCTTTGCCTCCAAAGTGCTGGGATTAAAGGTGTGTGCCACTACTTCCTGGTGAGTATGGAAGAGGTTTGGAATATGAAGAAACAGCAGCAGCCCAGGTTCCTTTTCAGAGCAGTGCTGTGTCTGGGCAGAGGGTAGATCTGCCGTCTCTGGGCTTCTTTGGTTTGGGACAACAAGCCTCTTAGGAACCTTGCTGGTTTATGGCAGACTGCTGGTGAATCTGGGAAGAGTTCCCTCGCCCCATCTGCAGAGGATGGATGCTTCTTTCTCCTTGGTTTAATGTTCACACTTCAGCTTAAAGGGGTCATTCTAACGTAGCCATGAGAGTATGAACCAGCATGGTGGTTGGAATGGAAATGGCCCCACAGACTCCTGTGTTTGGGTGCCTGGCCATAGGTAGTGGCACTATCAGGAGGTGTGGCCTCAGTGGAGTAGGTGTGGCTTTGTTGGAGGTGGTGTGTCACTAGGGGGTGGGCTCTGAGGTCTCAGAAGTTCAAGCCATGCCTGGTGGGGCACTCTCTTCCTGCTGCCTGCAGATCTAGATGTAGAACTCTCAGCTCTTTCCCCAGTACCATGTCTGCCTACCTGCCAACATGCTTCCCACCATGATGATAATGGACTGAACCTTTGTGCTGTAAGCCAGCCCCAATTCACGGTTTCCTTTATGAGAGTTGCCATGGTCACAGTGGCTCTTCGCAACAATAGGAACCCTAACTAAGACTGAAGTTGGCACCAGGGACTGACCATGCTTTTGTTTGGAGGAATGTGGACTTTGGTACTTTGGATTAGAAAACTAGTTGAAACTGGGAGGTGATGGTGCACGCCTTTAATCCCAGCATTTGGGAGGCAGAGATGGGCGGATCTCAGTGAGTTCAAGGCCAGCCTGGTCTACAAAGTGAGTTCTAGGACAGGCTCCAAAGCTACAGAGAAACCCAGAGAAACCCTGTCTAGAAGGGAAAAAAGCAGTTGAGTGCATTAAGTGGGGTTTAATGGGCCATCCTAGTAGGAACATGGAAGACAGTGGTGCTGAGGGTGATTTGAACTGTGGGCCCGGACTTCTGGCTCAGGAGTCAGAGGAGAAGAATGCTAATATGGAGCCTAGAGATCATTCTTAGGATATTATGGTAGAAATGTAGTTGCCTTTTACCCTTGTCCAAAAACTCTGCTTGAGGCTAAATTGAAAAGTTTTTGGATTAGTTACATTGGCAGAGGAGATTTCAAAGCAGCCTCGCGTGAACGCTATTATCTGGGGAATCAGTGCGCACTCTTCTGAAGATCTATGATGAACAGGAACAAGCTGAGGGAATTACAACCTGTACCACTTTAGGAGAAAAGGATCAGGAAGTGGAGTGGAACTAAATCCCGTGTTCAAGGAGATAAACAGATTAAAGGCCAGTCAGGTCCACAGAGCAAACTCCGGGACAGCCAAGCTTAGGCTTGAAGAAAACAAGCGAAAACAAAAGCTGGTGAAGATGTGAGTAAACGAGGGGGCGTATTCCAGCCTCAGCCGTGTGATTCTGGCTTCACAGTCAAAGACAGAAGAGAGCGATTACGGAATCTCCCTTCTTGGCCAAGGAAGGGGTGTCCCTTCATGGAGGCCCGAGAGACCACTGTGGGAAGCTGTAAAGGTGAAGCCTGGGTTGCCTCGGAGACCCCAGGTTGTTGGAGGTGCCAGAGTCACGGGAAACAGGGAGTGGAACCAGCCCGAGAGAAAGAAGTGTGCTGCAGTCAACAAAGCTGCAAGGAGTTGGAGATCTGAAGAGCATTTGACATCAGCCATGGAGATGTAGACTTTGGAGTTTGCCTAGATGTTTCACTCTTGCCCTGGCCCAGTATTTCCTCATCATGCTCCCTTTCCTCCCTTTCCTCAAGGTGATGTACATCCTGTGCCACTATATGTTAGAGTGTGGGATTTGCTTTCCACCTTGATTTTACAGCGGATTACAGTTAAGAGATGACGTGGTCTCAGAAGAGACTTTGAACTTTGGACTTTTAAACAATGTTGAGACTGTTATAGACTATTGGGACTTTTGAAACTGGACTAAATACATTTCTGCATTGTTATGGCTGCAAGCCAAAGGGAGTGGAGTGTGGTGGTTTGAATAGGAACAGCCCCTATAGACTCCTGTGTTCGAATGCTGACCAGAGGGAGTGGCACTACTAGGCGGTGTCCTTGTTGGTGGAGGTGGTCTGTCACTAGGGGGGTCACTAGGTATGCCACTTTGAGGTCTCAGAAGTTGAAGCCATGCCCAGTGTGGCATTCTCTTCCCTACTGCCTGAGGACTAAGATATAGAACTCTCAGCTCCTCCTCCAGCACCATGTCTGCCTGCATGCCACCACGCTTCCCACCATGACAATAATGGACTAACCCTTTGAAACTGTAAGCCAGCCCCAATTAAATGTTTTCCTTTAGAAGAGTTGTCTTGGCTGTGGTCTCTCTTTGTAGCAATAGACACCCTAACTATGACAACCAGTGAGCAAGCAGAGCCCTAAAAGGAGGCGGTGGGGCAGACAGCAGCTTTTAAGCAGGCAACGTGCCTTGCTATCTTCATTCCAACGCCACCTCTTCAGAGGACCAGGTCTGGAGCCTCACTTCAAATGAAGACATCTGGGGCTGCTTCCTGCCCTTCATCCGGCTGCTACCTTCCCTCCTGGAATCCTAAATGTTATCACTGACTCATTATTCATGTCTCTTTTGCTTGCTGCTTTGTAAGCCCACGACCCTCCCCTACAGCACACAGCAGGAAGTCAGCCAATACTGAATGAATGAATGAATGAATGAATGAATGAATGGGCACAATGGACTTTGGCAAGGGAAGCAGGAAAGTATCTTACCAGAGCAAAGTCCTTTGCCAACTCAATAGGGAAGGTCCTGGCCATTCAGAGAGTTCACACACCAGTTTTCAATACTCATAATCAAGGGTGAAAAAAATCAGGGCCTGGAGAGATGACTCAGCAGTTAAGAGTACTTAACAGCTCTTGCAGAGAACCCTTGTTCTATCTATAAAGTTTGAGGTTATCTTAG